CAGTAATCACTTTTCAAGAGCTCACTTGCCAGATGTGTCCATACTGGACAGCCGAACCATAGAACATGCACATCATCAAAGAAAATTTGGGACAGTAGTATAGAGAATGAGAAAATGATTTGGGTTACTTCAAAGAAGTCTGTTTCTTTAAACTTACCTAGAGGAGGGGCCGTGTCAAAAAATAATAACAACTAATGTCCCTAGTGGACAGACTGAATGAGTGGCTTTGTAAATTTGGAATGAGGAACATCTACCCAAAGAATAGTAGGAAATATGGTTCCTGGGAGAACTGAGGGATACGTGAGGGATGCTTAAGATCTTCTTTTAATCAGATAGAAGAGATGAATACAAACAGGTAGGCTTCCATTCATTCAAATCCAGGTCAAGTGACCTGCTGAGGTGGCAGAGGACATGAGAAGGAGTTGTTCCACAGTCTGAGAATACATGAGAAGATGTGAAATAGTTATTCCAAATAGCATTAGGGAAGTAGTTAACTATGGAAAACAATTGCTTTCTGGCTAGAGGGTCCATTTGAGGTTGGTGGTCAAAGTTTTATAATGTTACCAAATCTGAATGTATATGTGTCTTAGTTTGGTTTTCTATTGCATCAATGAAACACCAAAACAAGTTTGGTGATAAAAGGGTTTATGTTTTCATGTTACTGTTTATCATCGAAGGCAGTCAAGACAGGAACTCAAACATCAGGGAAGAAACCTAGAGGCAGGAGCTGATGCAGAGGCCATGGAGTGGTGCTGCCAACTGGCTCACTCCTCCTTTACCCACTAATTAAGAAAATGCTCTACCGGCTGGCCCACAGCCAGATCTTAGGGACGCATTCTCTCAGTCGAGCTATCCTCTTCTCAGATTACTATAGTTTATGTTGAGCTGACATAAATCTGGCCAGCCCAATATGTATATGTATTTGGGTACTTATTTCATATGGTTGCGCTGGTGAAAGTACAGAGAAGACAATTAGTTGGACTTTTGTGGGTTGGAATTTAGCCAAATAGGTGTTGTGGGAGACCAGAGGTAAGGCAGTTGTGGATTTTTGCAACAGACTATGATGATGATATCTGTTTGAGAAAAGGGGAATTGAAAGCAAGAAGGGTTCCATGGCTAGAAACTGAAGAATTAATGGGCTGAGGTTGTGTGAGGTCCAAAACAATTACAGTAAAGGTAATAAGCAAGTAAATTGAGAGGAATGATAGGTCACACAGTCAGATGTTTGATTTGACGTGTGTTAGGTGGTGTTTCCATGATGAAAACTCTAGGATATTAATGAGGAAGTAAGAAAATGGTGGCTGAGTTGCATTGGGAAGCTCATTGAGTAAAGAAGTTGAAGGTGTTAGCTGGATTTTCTGTACCAGTTTTTAAACAATACTGAATAATGACAGGATTTTGAGTGGAGGTGGAATATTCTGTATCAGGCACTGTATCCTGAACTCTGAGCTTTGTGGAGAGTGGTGCTCTCATAGAGGAAGAAAGAGAAAGTGGCATCACCTACATGTGGAGTGGGGGGAGTGGAATTGGAGGGAGGGACATGGAAGGATGGAAAAGAAGGGGGGAGGACAGAGAGGAAACTGGGATGGATATGTAAAAGAAGATAGATAGATAGATAGATAGATAAATAAATAAATAAATAAATAAATAAATAAATAAATAAGAAAGAAAGAAAGAGAAAGTGGTATAGCCCAATGGATAAGCCTCAGGAGAGAGGCATTTCCTGAAAGAGGTAGAGAGGGAGTAGTCTACGGTGGTATTGCACTGCATCATGTTATGAGTATGTTTTTCCCTGGCCAGTCTGGTTTGGTCCCACCGCCGCGCCAGCCCCAAATAATACACAGAGACTCTGTATTAGATATAAATGCTGTTGGCCATTAAGCTCTGTCTTAAATATTAACCCATTTCTATTAATCTAAGTACTTCCACGTGATCTTATCTTACAGGAGAGAGGGGCTGGCATTCTACCCTGCAGTCCTCCATCTTGGATCTCCTCCCTACTACTTCCTCTCTCCTCCTTGTCTCTTAGTACCGCCTATTTTGCTTCCCTATTAGCCAATGGCGCTTTATTCATTAACCAATAAGAGAAACATATTTACAGAATGCCATCTCCTATCAGCATCATGTTTTAAACCAGGCATGATAGTACCTGTCTATAGTCTCAGCTACATGAAAAACTGAAGGAGGAAGATCACTTAAGACAGAGTTCAAAGCCAGTCAGTTTGTATTTGCCTCTGATTTTAATGTAGTTGTGTATTGGAATCCTCAGTAAGTATTTTACTTAAAACTACCAGTAGAGTCAGATGTAGTGGCAGGTGCCTAAAATTCCAGCACTTGGGAGCCTGAGGCAGGGTTGCAGGTTTGAAACCAGCCTGGGCTATGCAATGAGACATTTCTGGGCTTCCTCCCCAGATATTGTCCTGGGGTAGGGTTCACATATCAGTATGCTCTAAAAAGCACCACTACAGCTGGGGAGATGACTCAGTTTATAAAGTGCTTTCTGTGCGAGCATGGAGTTTGATCCCTAGAACCCATGTTTAAAAAATTAAAAACAAAAATAGGTGTGATGGCAAGCATGTGTATAATCCCTCACTGTGGAGGCAGAGACAGGTTGATCCCTGAGGCGCCCTGGTCAACTAGCCTATACTACCTTACAAGTCCCAGATCAATGGAAAACCCTGTGTATTTTTCAAAAAACAAAGTGTACAGCTCCTGAGACCTAACACCAGAGCTTAACCTCTAGCCTCCACTTGTATGTGCACACATGTATAGGTACATACTCATGCACACAAATAAATAAACCTCATGGGAACTACCATGAGTTACAAAGTGTTCAGGTGAAATGAAAGATACAGGCATGTTTGCTGCTCACAGAAGGCTGACAGTTGGGGTGGGGTGGAAGAAAGGAGAAGAGAAGGTTGGATCATGAAATAATTTGTTCTATTTATAAGCAATATCATAAGAGAGCATCCAATGATAATTTGTAAACGGTTTCTGGAATCTTCTGGCCATGAAATAGATCTATTTTATTTATATTTGCTAAATTCTATCTTTCAAGAATTGTGGGAAAGAGATAAAATGTTCTTGTACTAAAATTGCATCAGATAGAAATCACTTTGTTTTTCCTATTCTGACTATAATTGTCATGAGAAAGGGAGGACTCAAATCCTAATGGTTTTCCCAGTAGCTGTACATCTGCTCCTAATTGACACTTGTCTACCTGCCTTTGTTCTCCTCTGTATGGTGGATACCCCGTTAAGTATCTTATCTGAGGCACTCTTGGTTGTCTTCCTTTATCTCTATCTTCATCCTTTTTATCCTTCTGACCAGTAATTTCATTTTCAAAACAATCACTGTGTTCTATGAAGATGGAAACAATAGATAAAAAAGGAAGACAAAAACAAAACTAGATTGCCAACATAAGAAACTAGGATTTGAATTCCATTTTCTCCTTCCTTTATTATTTATAAGTGTAGAAAAGTTCTGTTCCATATCCGTTTGCTAAATGCCTTCTAGCTTGAAGTCTGCCCTCATTGTCACTAGGAGAGTAACCAATTAGCTCAGGACTTTCTCCATCCTAATAATATGAAAAGTCTTGAAGCACACATGGGAAGCCCTTAAGTCTCAGACAAACTCTGAAATGGTTGATTGTTCTCAGCTGTAGAGAGCATTGGGTAATGTATATGTGTCCTGCCTCATAACTAAGGAGAATATAGCTTTAGGAGCACAGGAAAGCAATGTATGCAATTAGCCAATTAGAATAAGAATATAAACAAATACATAGGCTTCCTCGATCATAAAATCTGAATAGTTTAGTCAGATGGTAATTTTAGAGCATTAGAAAACAGGAGAGAGTATGTTTTTTTGTGCCCTTAAAAAGACTTAAACCTGGGGCTGGAGAGACGGCTCAACGGGCTCATCTTGAGGAACTGGGTTTAATTCCCAGAACCCTCATGGTAGCTCAAAATTGTCTGGAACAACACTTCTATAAGGACTCAGCTCCTCCTCTGGTCTCCAAGGTCACTAGCCACACATGTAGTACATAGACATACATGTAAGCAAAACACTTATACATATTAAAATAAAAATAATAAGTTTTAATAAACAAAAAATCTAAGGCTTTTGTAAATTTGCTTTTAAGTATTACTATTTTTACTGTGTATAAGTGTTTTTCATGCATGTATGTTTTGTACCATGTGCGTGCTTGGTGCCTACAGAGGCCAGAAAAGAGCATCGGGTCCCCCTATAACCGGAGATACAGAACATTGTGATTTAACATGTGGGTGTTGGGAATTGAACCCAAGTCATCTGGAAAAGCATCAAGTGCCCTCAACTGCTGAGCCATTGCTCCACCCCAGTAAATTTGCTTATAATTCTTTCCCGATTCACTATTCTTGAACCAACCCACTCTTGGATTAGATTATTGTTACATTGGCAAGATTATTCAATATACTCATTTTTACTTGTGGATTTTTTCATTTGTGTTAGTGAGGTATAGGTACATCTTTTCAGAACACTTCAAGCCAGACCCGCTATTGTTAAGTTAGCTTTAAATTTAATTTACTCAGAACCTAACCATGTTACTTTCTATCTTGCCTTCGTGCTTTAGAATACCATACGATCTGGACTTGAAATGGTAGGAATTTCCAGTGTGGAGATAGGAAGAGGGTGATTGATGAATTTATCTTCTGCTAGAACTTAGAAATCCCTTCACTGACATCTGAGAGGTCGACACAAAGGAAGTTATGATTTAGTGTGCCTATTGCTAGATCAGTCTGCTCATTATCACAGCTAATCAGCGCTGTGAGTATTGTCTTCCTTTAGGATTTCCTCTCTGCTTCATCCCCTCTACCACTACAACACCAAAGCCCTTGCTGTTGGATATGTGCTCCTTATTAAGGGTCTAGAATATTTGCAATCTGGAACTCCTCCTGACCAAAAAAATTTGACAATATTATCCCAATAAAGCTAGGTATCTGTGGATTTAATTCTTTTTAAAGGTGGCTGCAAAATTCGGGTACAGGGAGACTGGACCAGAGAGCGCCACTTTGAAATTCCTGATGAAGAGCACTGTGTTAAGTTTCTCTCAGAAGTCCTTGCGGCTCAGGAAGGTAACTCAAGACTCGGCAATTTTCTTTCCACTATTTCATTGGGAGTAAAATATTGACATGCCCATTCAGAGGAATGCAGCCATTAACAAGACCCCCTGCCCCTTGAGCCCTGATAGCAGATTTTTTTCCCTTCAGGGATGAACCCAAGATAGATTAAAGGACAAGTCTACCCAGCTCTAAAAAGAAAGTCAGTGGCATGGCATGTAGTTTACTGAAGCCTGTAATGCCCTCCCTTCTGCCCCCAGATGACTCAGAGCTGTTGCTATTTCCTTAGTCTCTTCCATCCCTTTCTAGAATTGTGCTGACCATGCACTCAAGGGCTTTGAATAAATAAATAGCTTTGGGTTGTAATTTAGTGATGGTCTTCCCAGTTTATGACCTAAATCTTATCTTCCCAGCTCAGTCACAGCTTCTTGTTCCAGAACAAAAAGACTCATCTAGCTGGTACCAGAAATTAGACACTAAGGATAAACCTGCATATTCAGGTATTGAAAAGACTCCTTTATCCCTGATTGCTATGATCATTTTAGAGTCAGTAGATCCTATTAGTTCAGATTAATTGGTTGTGTGGGGTGGTTTTATTGAACCCATGGCTCTTTATAAGCCAACCAGGCAAAAAAAAAGGTTAGGAAGTATAAACTCCATAACCAGACAGCCTAGGTTCATATGTCAAGTCAGTAAAATACTGACATGAAACTTACTAATTATGTCATCGTGTTTGAGTGACTCAACAGCTCTGACCTTATGTTTCCTTCTCTACAATGTGGAAAGATTTTTAATGGTGCATACCTTATGAGGTTATTGTAATGTAAGGAAGACAATCCCTTGTCTTATTCAGGGTTCAGATCGGTATAAATTTCTATCATTACAGTTAATGTGTCAGTGCTTCTGGGATGAATAGGAGTCTTACTCTAAGTGATTACTACCCTTGTGGTACCCTCCTGTTTAGCAGCATTACTGATGAGGTCATAAGCAAACAAAAGCTTGCCTATCCTGGCTATGTTGGAGGGTCTCTGAATCTTCACTTTGACTTTGGCTCTTGTATTCCTCAGGGCTGCTTGGATTTGAGGATAATTTTTCATCTATGAATTTAGATAAAAAAATGGACACACAAAACCACCCCACAGCAATTCATCGGGAACCACCCCCTCCACCTCCTTCAATGAATAGAATGTAAGTCCTATGTTGCAACATACTCCCCACAGCTCCCCATAAGAAGCCTACATTTTCACCGGTTTTAGTTTGAATCCCTGCTTGATTCACTAGGCCTCCACGTGAAAAGGAAGCTTCAAACAAGGAACAGCCCAAAGTGACCAACACTATGCGGAAGCTATTTGTACCAAATACCCAATCTGGGCAGCGAGAGGGTCTCATCAAACATATCCTTGCAAAGCGAGAAAAAGAATATGTCAACCTCCAGTCTTTCAGGTTTGTCTGTCTTCTACTCACTATATATTTTTTATATAGTTTTTATTTAAATTTGAAACAAGCTTGTTTTACATGTCAATCCCAGTTCCCACACCCTCCCTTCCTCCCCTGTTCCCCCCAGCAATCTCCAGCCCATCCCCTTTCTGCTCCCCAGGGAGGGTAAGGCCTTCCATGGGGAGTCTTCAAAGTCTGTCATATAATTTGGAGCAGGGCCCAGGCCCTCCCCCATGTATCTAGGCTGAGGGAGTATCTCTTTATGTGGAATGGGCTCCCAAAGTCCATTCTTATACTAGGGATAAATAGTGATCCACTACCAGAGACCCCATAGACTGTCCAGTCCTCCTAACTAACACCCACATTCAGGGAATCTGGGTTGGTCCTATGCTGGTTTCCCAGCTATCAGACTGGAGTCCATGAGCTTCCTCTTGTTCAGCTCAGCAATTGCTATAACAGTATTTTAATTTGTAAAAATGTCAGCTTCATTAAAAGTCAAAGCACACTGTAAGGCAATGATCATCTGACTCAAGCTCCTGTCTCTGCTGCTCAAAACTTATATCTAAAATCATAAAGAAGCTATATTTTTAATTTCCTAACTGCTAATGATACCATGTCTACTAATATTTCTATCCACACTTAGGGGAACAAATCAAATTCACATATAATAGAAAATTGTCCTCTCACACCATCTATAAACAAGTATGCCTCATCTTGCCTGCTGAATCTTTGTCTAGCCAGTACTGAAAAAATTAAAGTCCATCATTATTACCATATATTAATTTACTGCTTTGATAAATTAACTAAAGATTCACCCAGTCCTCTTGATTAGAAGATCTACCCTGAATACTTTCCTATTAGTTTTCATTGCACCTTGGCTCGTTAACATCCCCTTTTCTGGACCCTGGTATATTGGTATAAAGGAGAGGTGATGAAGCGTGCCAAGTATCCCCAGTGTGTTATTCATGGGCATAATATGCCTTTCTAATCCAAGATTCCCGTACCACCTGCAATCCTAACATGCATCATTTCCTCGAATTCAGTCACAATGGTAGTTCCTCATATTCTACACAACACTTATATGTGAACAACTGAGTGTCACATGAGTCATCCCTTCTGCCTTCCTGCTTAGTGTACTTACTATCTGCCTCATCAGAATTTCCCAAACAGTTGTCCTCATGATCCTCAGGAAATGGGGTTTTTTTTTTTTTTTTCAGTTTAGCTATACTCCTCACAGAACAGTTGCCCATAGTAGACTTTGCCCAGCACAAAAATCCCTCTATCCCAGAGGAATATGGTATATACTCACTCGTATATGGATTTTAGACATAGAGCAAAGGATCACCAGCCTACAATCCACACCGCCAGAAAAGCTAGGAAACAAGGAGGAAACCAAGAGATTCATACAAGGTTCCTCACAGAAGGGGAAAGGGACAAGATCTCCTGAGCATATTGGGAGTGGAGGAGCAGTGAGTGGAGAGGGAGCTAGGAGACAGAGAGGGGGAGGAGAAGAAAGCATGTGGGACTAGGGAGATTGAGTCAGGGGACGAATAGATGAGAGGAAAAAAAAGAGATACCATAATAGAGGGAGCCATTATAGGTTTCAAGAGCAAACTGACTCTAGAGAAATGTCCAGAGACCTACAAGACTGACCCCAACTAACAATTTGAGCAACAGTGGAGAGGCTACCTGATATGCCCTTCCCTGATATTGAGATTGATGACTAACTTATATGTCATTCTAGAGACCTCATCTAGTAGCTGATGGAAACAGAAGCAGACACCCACAGCTAACACTGAGCTGAACTCTTGGAATCCAGATGCAGAGAGGGAGGAGTGATAAGAAACTGGGAACAAGATCAGGCTACAGAAACACATAGAGACAGCTGACCTGAACAGGGAGGTGCTAATGGACCCCCCCCCAGACTGATAGGTGGGAAACCAGCACAGGGCCAACTCAGACTCCCTGAACATGGGTCTCAGTTAGAAGGCCTGGGCTGTCTAAGGGACCTCTGACAGTGGAACGAGGATGAATCCCTGGTGCACAAAAGGACTTTGGGAGCACATTCCCCTTGAAGGGATAGGATACTCCCTTAGCCTAGAGGCAGGAGGGAGGGCCTAGTCCCTACTCCAAATGACTTGACAGATTATGTTGATCCCTCCTGGAAGTCATCACCCTACATGTGGAGTGGGGGGAGGAATAGGATGGGAGGGGGATCCGGTGACATGGGAGGGAGGGAGAGAGGAAGGGAGAGGGAACTGGGATTGATATGTAAAATAAGAAAAACAAAAAGAAAAAAGATACCTCTTTCCCTTCCTAACCTAAAGCTCTCCCTTAATGAATTTAGATGGTGTTTAATTGAGTGGAAATTTGGCAAAACAGTTAAGTGTGTTTGCTTGAAATGCCAACCTAGTTCCTTTTTGTTGATTCACTTGATGTAAGATATAGGGAAAATAAACCAATGCCTTTGTATTCTACAACCAAAATTTTTTCTTATGCATCTGGCAAAATACTTTGAAGAGTTATGGTAATCAGTATACCCTTTCATAGATATATTGAAAGCAGTATTGTTTTTTCATACTTTATCTTTGTTTTCCAATTAATTTTTTGTTGTACTGTATTAGATTTTTTGTTGGAACTTGGAATGTGAATGGACAGTCTCCAGATAGCAGCTTAGAACCTTGGCTGAACTGTGATCCAAATCCTCCTGATATTTACTGCATTGGGTAAAAACCACTTCAGGACCTTCCTTTTCTTATATTTGGTATTAATGTAACATGACTTTGGCCTCTCTCTCTCTCTTTCTCTCGCTCTCTCTCTCGCTCTCTCTCGCTCTCTCTCTCGCTCTCTCTCTCGCTCTCTCGCTCTCTCTCGCTCTCTCGCTCTCTCTCTCGCTCTCTCGCTCTCTCGCTCTCTCTCTCGCTCTCTCTCTCGCTCTCGCTCTCTCTCTCGCTCTCTCTCTCTCGCTCTCTCTCGCTCTCTCTCGCTCTCTCTCTCTCACACACACACACATTTGTGTATGTCTTTGCGGATGTAAATGTGTTAGTGTGTACATGTGAGCAGCAAGTCATCAGGTGTCTTCCACACTCACTCTCCACCTCATTTTCTTGCCCTTTTTCTTTACCTTATTTCATTCATGTATATAATGACTTTTAGTTGTTTTCATCCCCTATTACCTTCCCTCTCTCCTGCTGAAACCTTTCTTCCTAACAAGTTTCCCTCCTATATTCACGTCTACTTTATATACATAACCCATTGCATTTAGTTGAAGTTTCTTGTGTGAGTATGAATTTATTTACTGGCACATGAGCAACATCCGTGACTATACCACTAAAGATAGTGTCAACCTTTCTACCAACAATCATTAACTACCCATTGTCCCTCACAGAGGTGTAGAACCTCGTGTACCCCTCCCCTATCCATAATGAAATGTTGATGGGCCCAATCTTATACAGGCCTCATACAGATAACCACAGCTGTAGTGAGTTCAAGGAGAGCAATGACTAGGGCATCCAGAAAGATGTCTTTTGCTGTACATGTCCCCATCTTCTAGTTCTTACATTCTTTCCATATCCTATTTCCCATGTTTCCTGAGACTTGGGATATGTGATATAACTGTCCCATAGTGACAGAACACTCCACCATCACTAATTCTCAGCATTTTGGCCAGTTATGAGTTCTACATTAACTGCCACCCACTTCTATGATAAAGCCTTATCTGCTTTTTTTTTTAAGTTGAGACAGGGTCTCTCCACTGAACCATGAGTTTGCCTAGAGATCCTCTGTCTTGTTGGGATTGCAGACATATGCCTACACACCCAGATTTTTTTATCTTGGATGCTGAGAATTGACCTTATGTCCTCACACTTGTACAGCAAACACTTTACTGACTTGACTGATCCATTTCCCCAGCCTTGATCTTCCTATATTTCTAAAACTTGTTTGATTAAAAACTTGATGTGGACTATATGTGAGGGTTACTTTGTGGGTCAAAATAAAAGAAAATGAATGAAACACAAAGGAAACTACTTATCCTAGAAACAAATGAGATCAATTCTCATAGTGATTTTTCAAAGGTTGTAAAAGAAAAGTTTCACTATAATCCCTATGAGGGTTTTGATTGTTGTTGTTTAGATTTTGTATAACCTATGAATATAATGGTGGGGATTCTTTATAAAAACCACATATCTTTTATAAAATTTATCTTGAATGTTTTTGCCTTTACTCTAATGTTTCAGCAAATGGGAAAGGAGATAGCAAAAAAAAAACTTGTGGGCTGTGTATCACTCCTGCATCCATTTTTCCTCTCAGATTCCAAGAGCTGGATTTGAGCACAGAAGCCTTTTTCTACTTTGAGTCTGTAAAAGAGCAAGAATGGTCCATGGCAGTGGAAAGGGGTCTGCCTTCAAAGGCCAAGTACAAAAAAGTAAGCTGCAATGGATTTTCTTTTTCATATATAACTAAGTAAACCTCACTGGGAGTTATTCCATTATCTGAGCCTGTTCCCAAAAGGTTCGTTAAATAATTGAATTCTTCCCCATATGAAATACTGTGCCATATGAGACTAATCTGCCATAGTTACTTCTGGTGGGGGGAAGCATAAGCTTTCTGTTCATAATTTTTATCACTTAGGTAGCTTTTAGAAGACCATTTGTTGTTTTTACATTAATAATTAATTCAAAATAATTACATATAAGCTAACTGATCTGTATGTGTAATGAAAGTTTGTCTTTCAACATGGCCAGAATTAAATGCCTACAAGAAAAGCAGAATGAAGCTTATGGGTGCATAAAGTATGCTTTATGTTCAGAACAAGAATAGCAGCACTGTGGGATTTAAACAAATTCTAGACTTCTTTGTAGCTAAAGAATAAAGTTGAGGTGCTGGAAAGATGTCTCAACAGTTAACAGCACTGGCTGTTCTTCCAGAGGACCTGGGTTCAATTCCCAGCATCCACATGGCAGTTCATAATTGTCTCTAACTCCAAGATCTGATACCCTCATGCAGGCAAACCACAAATACACATAAAATCTAAATAAATAGTTTTTATAAAAGGTGTGTGCCACAACACCCAGCTATTTATTTTTTTAAAAAATAAAAATAATAAATTTAACTTTAGCAAGGTAGTCCAATTTGTTAATCTTTAGAAGATACCTGATAGAGGCATTTAGCTACTAGGAGAGTTATTTTCATTTTAAGGTGACTATTCTAATCTCAGAAGGAGTAATCTAATGTTCTATGCTTTTGAACAGTGTATGTAGGTGAAGATGTTACAGCTCTCTAGCTCAAGTTTTGACCAAAAATAATCAAAATTCAAAGGATCACTATTTGTAGATTTAAATATCTTAGACAATGAGAAATAAGAGTCTAGAAACGAGAAGGAAGAGGAGCTAGCATGGATAATGGCTTGTTCTTTACCATTTGAACTTTTAATGTACTCTCCATAGGCTACAAAGTAATTTAAAAAGAGAGCTAACACTGGGGTATGGGTTAGTGATAGAGTACCTGCATAGCACGCTCAAGGTCCTTTATTTGATCCTTAGCACTGACAAATAGAAGCAGAGAGAGAGAAACAAACTCATGCATTGTTCTCAAAGATTCTGACTTTTATAATCAAATCGAGACTAGAGCTTCCACAGAGAACCTTGGTTTCCAATTTATGGAGTCCAGTAGGAAATTAGAGGCACAGATCCAGATTTGGACATGTTTGTTGGTCATTCCAGGGAGGTAGCTATGTTGCAGAGAGTGATGCTCATATTAGTTTGTAACTCCCTGGAACTCATAGGTTCAACTAGTCCGCCTTGTGGGGATGATGCTTCTTATATTTGCCAGAAAAGATCAGTGTCGGTATATCCGTGATGTTGCTACAGAAACAGTTGGAACTGGAATCATGGGGAAAATGGTGAGTTCCTTTGGCAATTAATTTGATTACTGTTTATCTCTATGTGAAACTCGATTACACCTTGTGTTCCCTAACTTTATAATTACTTTGGCTAACAGGGAAACAAAGGTGGAGTGGCTGTGAGATTTGTATTTCATAACACCACTTTCTGCATTGTCAATTCCCACCTGGCTGCCCACGTGGAAGAGTTTGAAAGAAGGAATCAGGATTATAAAGACATCTGTGCAAGAATGAGTTTTACGGTCCCCAATCAGGCTCTCCCACAATTGAACATCATGAAGCATGAGTAAGTGCTTTCCTCGCTGTGGCCTTTGAATAGAGAGTTAACAGTGATTAAATAAGGGTGAGAAACTATGGTACTGTGAAGAGTGAGGGATTTCAGCCACAAAGAAGAGAATGTTACTTAGAAATAGCAGATTCACTGAGGCAGAGAAATTAGGTTTGGCATTGGGGGGGGAAAGAGTTTGTCACTTCTAAAATAATGCTGAAGGCTCCTGCATGTTAGAGTCATTTTTTAAAATGAAATAGAAATGTTCACTGTAAGTGTGATAATAAAAGATAAAATGAATAAACATGGCTTAAAACCCTCTTCTCCCCAGCCAGTCCTCTCTCCAAAGGAGACCATCTTTAACATTTGAGTGTAGACCTTTCTAGAGTTGCACTGTATAATATGATAGCCAGCATTTGGCTTTTGGTATTTGAAAGTCATTAGTCAAACTGAGAGGTCGGTAAGCAAAGGCTATATTAGATTTTGAAGATTGCTTGGGGGAAATGTGGGCTACCTTAATTTGCAAAATATTAATGACACATTAATGATCTGGATATATTGGGTAAAATAAAAGTTGTTATTTTTACTTTTATATTTTAAGTGCAGCTACTAGGGAACTTAAAGGCTGTGGAGGCATGCATCATTTCACTGAGCAGTCTCTTCTAGACTTCTCTCCATACATATATGGAGACACATACTTGTTGTATGAGAACATATTGTCCTATTTATCTTTCCAATATTGTGTCTGCAGATCTCCATTATTCTTTTTAATGGTTGTGATTATTAGAAACAGGGTGGCAGTGATAGGCTTGCAAAGAATGGGATTTCATAAGGACAGGAGCAGAAATCCATTGAGGAGTGGGTTAGGTGCTGATAGAAAATAATCAGGTGTAAAGAAATGAATTGGTCTTTGAAATTCCGAGAGGGTGATTTGGAAGAAATAGTGTGAGATGAGAATTATAGTAAATCAAGAGATAATTTAGGATTATTAGAAGCAGTGAATATTAGGAAAATTAAGGAAAGAAGAGGGAAAGATAGTGATATTTCAATGTCTCCATTATTGTCTCAACAGTTAGGATCATATATAATTCTGTTTCACAGTGACAAAGTCAAGGCCTCAAAATTTATGATCACGAAGTCCCCAGTAATTCCATAAATTTATTTTCCAAGAGTCCAAACTTTCCTGTTGCCTTTGAGAACTTGAGGTGACTCCAAAGGGACCCATTTTGAAGGTCCCATTTCAGGGTCTTCTCAGCATGTCTCAAGTCCTGGTGTTGTGCAGTGATTGAGGACTAAGGTGCCAGTTTTCTTCTTTCCTGGAACTGGAACTTCAGATCATAAACAGATACAGCGAAGTTGGCTACACTGGAGAGACGGACTTAATTTTCCTAGTGGACTCTGTCAGTCCTTTCCAGGGTCCAAGCTATAACACAGCGCCTACAAAACCAAAGGGCTCTGGGAGGCAAAAAGCATCAAGATTCTCTTGGCGTAGAGACCTGGCAGGCAGCCAGACAAAATTTTGAAGCTAATCCAGCAAATAAACTGCATGCTTCTCAGTCCATTAACTCCTTGGCTTCCAAATCCCATATGTATATTGTATTGACCCATTTTCATTCAGTTTTATGTGGTGTGCTATTTTTGCAGTTATTTTATAATCTATTGTCTTTCTCGGGTATTGTCAGTACCTTCCCTCTAAAGAATTAATTACAGCTTTAAACCCCTTGACAGTGATAAATAGATCCTTATAAGTAGTCTACCCATTTTTTTTCTCTCTGTTCACCTCTGATTGACTTTAATGTTAATTACTGCTATTCTAATCTATTTCTTGATCCTCAGTGTTGTCATTTGGTTGGGAGACTTGAACTACAGACTTTGCATGCCCGATGCCAATGAGGTGAAAAGTCTTATTAATAAAAATGATCTTCAGAAGCTCTTGAAATTCGACCAGGTAAATGAATTTTTGGTGACAGATAATGTGGAGATTATGAGATAGAAACGTGGTAGGCATGGCTTATGTTAGTAAAAGATGGCAAGTTCATACTGTCTTGTAAGATATTGTGGCTGGGGATATATAGATTTGGAGTGCCTTAGGTGCTAAGATTCAAAAGAGATAATGTTGGTGACAAAAAGCCAATATAAATTCATTTAGCAAGTTGTTATCAAGTAGAGATTTTAGAGATTTATATACATGGGCTGCAGAAGGGGTGAGGTTAATTGGAGAATACTTCCTAGAGGAAATGGCCTTCTGCTGTGTTGATGTGGTTTAGTAGATGGAACAGGGAAAATTGTTCTCTGGTTATTTGACAGGCTGAGCAACAGCTTTGGTGGTAAAAGAGAGGGGGGGGGTCCTATGAAAGAAACTGAGAAACTAATAAAAGAAGTTTGTTTGAGATGAATAGCATAAGTTATAGCCTAATAGGAACTGATTGATAAGTTTGTGCTTACTGGTATTTAGTTGTTGATGTTATAACCAGTGGAAAGGACTGGGAAGGTGACTCAGTGGATAAAATGTTTGTTGCATTAGCATCAGGACTTCAATTAGTATCCTCAGCACCCATGTAAAAGCCAGGAACAGTAACATGTATCTGTAACCCCCACTCTGGGGAAGACAGGTGTGTCCCAAGGGCTTACTGGCCAATCAGCCTAGTCCAAACTGAGCTCCTTATTCAATTAGAGGCCCTGTCCCAAAATAGAAGGTAGAGAAGTGATTGAAAAAAACATCCTTATATCACCCTCTGACCACTGCACTTTACCACATGGATGCCCACCCACATATAAACAAACAAGAACAACCTTGTGGGAAAATTATTGATTATGTAGTGCTAATACAAAACCTGATATTCAATAAACCAGTCTCTATGAATATAAGCCACTATGTTGGTGTGTAAACCTGGTAAATAAGTTGAAATTTTATTTTCATACTATATTTTTTTCTTTTTGAGCTACAGTATCACTATAAAACCTATCCTAACCTGAAATGATTAGTATAGCCCAGGGATGACCTTGAACTTAAGATCCTCCTGCCTCTACCTCCTAAGTGCGGGTATTACAGGCGTGTACCGACACACCTCGAACATAAGAATAAATTTTGGAATATAGGTACTGGACAATAAAAATGAATGCTCGTTCATGTCATTTCATATTTGATTAATGTGTATTAATTACAGACAGTCATTGGGTTTATTGTGATGTGTCAGCATGTAAAGTTAGACCAGCATCTGGGATCTGGGGATGTAGCTCAGTGGTAGAACACTTGCCTAATCTATGTTATGCTGTGAGTACAATCTACAGCACTATAACAATCACCCTGGTTATTTTCATGTGACCTCCCCTCATATCCCACTTTCTGATTATCACTATTCTACTATTGGGTTGACTACTTAGCCTTCATGTCTGAGAGCTAAAATGTAACATTTGTCTTTCCGTGTCTGGTTTATTTCATTTAACACTAATTATGTCTAGCCCCATCCATTTTGCTGCAAATGACAGCATTTCATTTATTATGCCTGAATAATAATATCTGTGCCATGTTTCCTTCATTTAGTCAGTATTAACAGGTATTTTTCTTGGTTCCCTATATTTGACTGTTATGAAAATGCCACAGTAAATATATGTGTACATATCTCTTTAGTATGCTGATTTCACTTCCTTTGATTATATACCCAGAACACCATGGTACAGGAAGAAAATTAAATGCTTCTTAATGAGGAAAGACAAAATTTTAGCTTGATTCAAATGTCTTTAAATCCTTATGACAGCCTTTTGCCCTTTTGACACAGTAAAAATTCAGGTGTTTGCAGCATGATGGTTTTTATAGTGAGTCTTTCATGGCTATCTAGCTTTACACCAAAGTTGAATGGCTATTTTGTTTGTATTTGTTCCTCTTTCTTATCTCCAGAAAGGATACAGTTGGGATAAATGTTGAGTCTCATGTAACTTTGGTAAAATAACTGAGTGAGGATAACTTTTACAACACTGGATTATGGGGCAGGAGAAATGAGTTCTTGCCTTGCAAGCATGAGGACCTGAATTTGGATCCTGACATCCACAGAAAAAGCCAAGCGTGGTCACATGCACCTGTAACCCCAGAATTAGCAGGTGGTGGTGGAGACAGGAGGATCATTGTGTATATATGTATGTGAGCATGGGTTGGTGCATGTGCGTGGAGGCTAGAAGAAAGCCGTGGGATCCCTTGGAGCTAAAGTTGTAGATAGTTGTGAGCCATCCAACAAATTTGGGTCCTCTGAAAGAGCACTTGACCACTGGGCCATGTCTATAGCCCTGACTCACCCACTTTTTTTTTTTTTTCAAAAAAGGAAACATTAAGTAGTCACTGAAATTGGTTTCAGAAATTATCCTTTCAAGGTTTCTGTGGGTTTGTTGTTGTTGTTGTTGTAATTATTATTACTCTAGGTAGTGCCTGCCCGGTTCTAAGCAATGTAGGATTATTCAGAGTCCTCGATTCCACAATTTTATCCTGGCCACAATTGACAATAAAATGGCAATGTGCTAATAAGAAGTGTTAGAAGGTGAGTTCCGATGCTATGGCAATGTTGACCTTGAATAAAAAGGATAGGCAATCTTATCTGTATCTTTGCACAGTTGAAAAGGCCGTGGAACTGGATACTTAGAAAGGGAACAGTGGCCAGTCAGCCTGATTATCACCTCTGTTAATGTGGTGTTACTGTGCTTATGTGGTATTTCTTTCTGTCTGTAGTTAAACATTCAGCGCACACAGAAAAAAGCCTTTGTGGATTTCAATGAAGGGGAAATCAAGTTTATTCCCACTTACAAGTATGATTCTAAAACTGACAGATGGGATTCCAGGTAAAGTGATAAGAACCTTCTCACAGAAAAGGTTAAGACTTGATCTTTTCTGTGTCCTTCCATGTCCCTCCTGACATGGTAGGACTTTCTTTATATCATTCCGTATGCAGAGAGGGAAATCTAATGGTTCAGTGTTATTACAGAAGAGTGTTTCAAACTGAGCTTATATTATTAATTATAGTATTAATTAGATGTCAGGGCTGGTAACACTTTATGAACTCTGCCTCTGGTACCCTGTTTCTGTCACCTCTTCAAAGTGCTGTAGATTTTTGCCTTCCTAGTCATACTCTTTTTTTTCTTACCTAATGCTCTTAGCCTCCTCCCCCAAACTACTACTCTGCTACTTAACTTTGGATACCAGGAGGTGAGAACAAAGAATCGTAAGCAATTCTTCTAGCATAGTCATTCTTGGTCTTGAGAACGCATTAGAATCCATTGATAAGGGCCTGGAGAGTTTGCTCGATGGCAGCATACTTGGTGCTCTTGCCGAGGACCCAAGTTCAATAACTCTAGCTGCAAAGGATCTGACACCCTCTTTGAAGACACCTGCACATATATACACATAAATGAAAAAACTAGGTCGTAATCCATTGGTGACCTCTTAGAAATCCTCATGTCTGAACCCCCAGCTGTTGTTGGAAAAAAGAGGACTTTACTCCTTGCAGTCTCTGTGATTTCCTCATTTCCCCAGCAAAGTAGCCCTGTCAATAAATCTCTTAACTGCTTCTCCCCTTCATACTGTTTCTTTCTTTTTTCTTGTTTCCTGGGTAGTTCAGAATCTTGAAAGACAAAAGGAGCCATGGCCATACTCATCTGCTTCAGACTCTGAGAGCATTGAATGGGGTGCTGGGGGTGGGGTTGAGAGTCCTGTGTTCCCAGGGAGTGAATCAACAATTGAAAAGGGACACCAAGGGACCTCTTTTACTTTGATTTGTTTGTGCCACATGACATTAAGCTCCAGAGCTACTGATCAGGAATATTTGAGTCACCTACTGGATCAAGCATGCAAGGCTTTTCTTATTTTAATGAATGATGAACACGATTTTCTTGCCCTGGATATTCTGTGGACTATTCTAGTCTCAGGCTTGCATGCATGCATGTTAGTTCATCTCTATCAAAGAAGCTACATGTGTCCACCAAAGTCCAGGTTTCAAAGAGAAATAGTTGTCTATTATGAAGTATTATTGCAGTTAGGTGGAGCAAAGGAAGAGAAAATATTCAGAATGGGACCCAGACCTGAGAAGACTAGTTTAAGAAGATGCTGTTCCATCTGTCCTTGTGGTGATATTGTTTAAGATATAGACCTAAATTTAGGGAAACCATCCATTCACTGGTTAATACTAGAAACATACTTTGTACCAGGCAGTAGTACTAGGAGTTCAGTGGCTGACAAGCAGACAGGCCATTATCAGTGCTTGTAGTGTGGAAAAGAAGGTGTTGGGGTCCTCCAGGAAGGAGAAGTACATGCCTCAAATATAAAAAGAGGCCTAATGTGATTCTAAACCAATGTGTGTTACTACATTCTAGTATGGTATGCTCTGTTTGTGACTCATTCCCTTTATTTACAGTGGAAAATGCCGAGTTCCAGCCTGGTGTGACCGAATTCTTTGGAGAGGAATAAATATTAATCAGCTTCATTACCGAAGTCACATGGAGCTCAAAACTAGTGACCACAAGCCTGTTAGCGCCCTGTTCAACATTGGGGTAAATAGTTGATTACTCATTCATTTGTTTATGTGTTAAGTAGCTATTTCCCAAACATTATGTAGATATAGAGTGGGTTCGTAATCCAGCATGCCACAAATGTTCTCTAAACAAGTAATCATTTGCAGGGTTGAGTGGCTAGCACCCCATCAACCCTCCTAAACTCTATCCTTAGATCTCTTCATGGTTCAGTCTTTTTACTGATTTACAGGTACTTTATGCCATGTAGGCCGCTAGGACCAGATCTACTCATTAAGAGATAGATCCTGTATAGTAAAGTAGCATCTTCCTCTCCTCAAACAGAATAGGTATTATATTGTTTTGTACTTGGTTGCATTCTTGGCTGAATTTATAACCAGTTATTTAATGTTTTGCCTCTATTGTGAATGCATTTCTCCCTTTTTTTAAAGCTGTTGTTGTAAGCGTGCAAATTATTTCATAAGCTTGCTGATTTATATCTTGATAATTTCTTGTAGATTTTCTGCATATGTGGTCTTGTAACCTGTCAGGATGTAACTAGTGTGATTCTCACTAGAATGAACTGGGTACTATACTACTTGGTTTTGCATTCCAAGTCAACCACTTTGTAATGGTGGAGACTATGGGCAATTTATTTGACATCCTTATATGTCAGTCTACTCTACAAAATATGCTGGTAATGAGACCTACTCATAAGGGTTAATGAGTTCAAATATGCAAAAGGCATAGTGGGACAGATTATTTTAGTTTATGTCATTTTCAGGGACTGCTGACTTAGGTGTTACCCATGTGTCCTATGGTGACTCTTACCCTGAGTCCTCTTTTATTGATGATTTATTTGTTATTATTTTATATGCACTGGTGTATTGTATGTGTGTGTGAGGGTATCAGATCCCCTGGAACTGGAGTTATAGACAGTTTTTAGCTGTCATGTGGGTGATAGGAATTGAACTTGGGTCCTCTGGAAGAGCAGCCAGTGTTTGTGATCCCTGAACCATCTCTCTGTCCTCACCCCCACCCCAAGTCCTCATTTAAAGAAGAATGACTTGAAGGCATTTCTGTATCCTCTCCTCTGCTAAAGGCTATTGAACCATCCATACAGGATCCTTGGGCTCTCCAGCCATGTTGGCTTTGGCCATTTCCCACCAACTGGCTTTGGTGGCCAGTTGTGGGAGGTGCAGCTCACCAAACTTTCCTGTTAAGACACTGTCTGACCTTGTGCCCTCTGACTACATTCAAAACAATTTCAAGGAGGTCTCTCTGTTAGGATTCAGACATTCAGAATCACCCATGTGTGGCCAGACCATACAGGTACATACATGTTTCAGCCCTTTTCCATAATTGGTTTGTTGGAATAAAACATCCTTAACTGAAACCCCTTGTAATACAGCAGCTATAGCTAACCCTTGAGTGTATGAGAGTCCAAAATACGAATAAATTCTCATATAATCAGACATATCTGCTTCCTTTCTAAAAGGTCCTAAAGTAGTTTCCAACTGGCTGCATTAATTATCAGTGGCCATAGCAGCAGCCCCCAAGGCTGCTGGCTTTGAGGCTCAGCCTTCCTTCCAGGGACCAGGGGACCCAGTGGACTCTGCTCACCTTTGTCCTCTGTGCCTGGGTGGGCCCACTGCAGGTCATCTGTGACTGTGGCTGCTTGCAAAGTTAACTCTTGTAGCAGTTCCAAGACCAGGGCACCCAGAGGTCCTGCTGACCTAGAGTGCATGACAGTAGCACCTTTGCTTCCCCGAGCCCCAGTGCAGCTGTGAGACACATGCAGCAGTGACTTATACAACGAGGAGGGTTACTTACAGAATTTAAAAAGTCTAAAGAGGTCTATACTTGCTTCTGCTTTACTCTAGTTCTCCTGGATCTTAAAATATAGCCAAGTAAATATACAATCATCTGACTGATACTTTTCTGTCTCATATGTGCAATTATATACATTTTTACTGCATTTCACTTCACTTTTATCCGAGCATTCACTTCCCACTTCTCACCTGTGGTGTCCATTTGCTGCATCCATCACTCTGTCGCCTGTGCTCAGGCCCATGTGGCTATGCCAATCTGTAGTAGCCCCACTTTGCAGCACCAGTCTGTAGTAACCCGTGTTCGTGCCTGAGAGGGGGAGTGTAGATTAAGAAATGACTTCCTTGAGAGTATTCAACTAGAAAGAGAGCTAAGATTCAAATCTTTATCTCCTACATCTGTGGTCTTAATGTACTGAGTAGACGTGCCTTCAGAAGCTACTTTTAACCCATTGAATTCCTGTTTGTACATCCAGGACAGCCTCTTTTCCTCATTTGAATCCCCCAGTTGGTTTAAAGAAGGCATTACTTCTTAAACATTGGCCTCCTTGGTTTAGTCAGCCATGCTTGAATATTTGTTGTGTTTGACTTCAGAAACTTGGAACATTTTTCATACTGCACATCAATCCTAAACTCCCACTTAGATATTTTTAAATTTACAAGGGATCTTTATATTTTTGTATATCTTTGATAGAGTTCTATGTTTCTGACTTTAAATGGTACGGCACTTTAAATGAGCTCTTTGTGGGGATGACAAGGTGGCTCAGTGGGTAAAGGCACCTGTCACCAGGCCTAATGACCTGAATTTGATCCCTGGGATCCACATGGTGGAAAGAGAATCAGCCAACTTGTAGCAGTAGTCCTCTGACCTCCACATGTGTGTCATAGCACATGCACACACATACACACAAATAAGAAAACTAATATTGCTTTTTCTCTAAAATAGAGATCTAAGCAGAATTTACACAGAAAGCTGAGATTCTTTAGTAACTGTCATCTCCCACTTCAGACGTTTCCTAAATTCCTACTTCCTAGCCAGGCTAACATCAGTATGATTGTTTGTCTTTCTAGATGTGTGTCATCATTGGCGCTTTCTGTGATGATGGAAATGCACTATATCCATGCTAGACATCTGCACATGTCTTTCTTATTAATAGTTTTGTGTGTATGTGTGTATATTGTAAATGGCCTCATACTATGTGCTGATCCAAAATGTACTTGTGATTTATTGTATTATCTCTTTATAAGTCATTATGTTAAGATCTAGCTCATTTCCTTGCATACTGAATTCCGAATTTGATGGGAATTTCCCTTTCTGAAATGAATGTATCGCATGGTAAGATTCTTCACACCATCCTCTATTATCTTGGATGCACCATTAAGTAGTGTTTCTCTGCTGAGAAAAGGTTTGCTTTTATTGAGTAACTACTTCGTACTTCAGAGCCTTGGGATAGCTATAATTAGAGACTTTAAAAACTACATTTCACACAAAAAACTACATTACACATTCATGCCCCAACACTGGCAACAGTGACTTTTAGCAAAGGAGCTAAGTGTTCTGTTGTTTCTAAAGATTGGCAGTGGACTGTCTGAGATGAAGCTCTTCTGAGACACAATTCTACCCTTCATGGGCTCTGGGATTTGTTGCACTGGCTCTCTGATTTTAGTAGGAGTACCCATTGTCTAGAGAACTCTTTAAAAAGAAGAGAGATGAACCCATGAAGCCTATTTCTCAAAACTGTGATGAATAGACCCAGGTGCCTGTGATTTTACACCTCAGCTACGTTGAGTCTTTTGCTTACCTCGTCTTTCTGATGGGATTCACGTAGTAGTCTAGATCTTGCCAGGGAGCCAGTTAAGTGAACTGCTCAGCTCTCAGAATATTCCTTACTTCTGTGGCCTTGAACATTCTAAAAATATTTTTTCAGAAAGGAAAAGTTACAAAATTTTGTAAGAATTTAAGATTCCTCTTTACCTACTGTTTACATACTGTGGGGCTAAAGTGATCAACCCTCAGTTCTCTAAGTTATGGCTCCAGTGTGTTTTAAAACACAACTCCCTACAAAGGCACATGGTTGGAACTAGATGAAACCATCCTGAGTGAGGTAACCCAGTCACAAATTGATGAACACGAGCCCTCATCTACTAGCTTGTGGAAACAGAAGCAGATACCCACAGCTAAACACTGAGTCAAACTGGAATCCAGATGCAGAGAGGGAGGACAAGACCAGGTTGCAGAAATCCACAGACAGCTGACCTGAACAAAGAGGAGCTAATGGGCCCCCAGACAGATAGATGGGAATCCAGCATGGGACTGACTCACACCCCCTGAACATGGGTCTCAGTTAGAAGGTCTGGGCAGTCTAAGGGATCTCTGACAGAGGAACCAGGATGTATTCCAGGTGCACAAAAGGACCTTGTCGACACATCCCCCATGGAGGGATACCCCCTTAACCTAGAGACAGGAGAGAAGTCCTAGTCCCTATTCCAAATGACTTGACATATTTAGATGACCCCTCATGGAAGGCCTCACCCTCCTGGGGAATGGGGCTGGTTGGGAGGATGGGAGGGAGAGGGAACTGGGATTGATATGTAAAATAAGAAATAAATATAAAATAAATTTTAAAAACCTCCCTAGTCTATTTAGCTCAGCTGTTTTCCACATCTGCCTCAGGACCTTTGCTGTTACACGGATCTTTTTTAACATGGATTTTTGTGAAATTTTATACTTTATGTAGAAAGGAAACCGATGTCTTATATATAACAATGATGTTACATTACTTATGCTAAATGATAACATTAGTTTGTATGAAGTTTTAATATCTAAAAAAATACAGCTATATCAGGAAGTTGGAAGTGCTGTGTCACCTAGAAACTTTCATGAGCCATTAGTCCAAATGACTTGTCTGTTGTCATGCTTTTACTCCAGAACATTTTGTGGTGACCTTTTTCTAAAATGGTCACGGGCTCCATTTACTAACACCATACCTTTCCTGTTATGTAATCTGAGCAATTATGTGATTCCTGCCAATGTGCATAGCAACTAATGGATGTAAATGCTTTAATCATATTTTCTACAGTTTCTCTACTTTATGCTTTTTAAAATTAGCAGTGGATGGACTTTAACATTGTCATTTTACACAGTGTAAGAAATCATTTTTACTACAATTATCTCATTTTCTCCTGTGTCAGATAATTAACAATGGAGCAAGGGAAAGTCCTTCCCAGATAGGTCCTATTATCAAGCATCTTAGAGCTTGCACTTTTCCAGAAATTTAGCCAGTTGACTTTATCTTTCCCTTAAAGTGTGTTTTTCTAGTGCTTATTAATTTAGTTTGTTTTAGTAACTTTTAAACTTTATGAAAGACTCTTAGAGAAGTTGAGATTGCATAAGACTAAATAAAGATCTATTTCCTTTGAGGTGAAAGTTATAGGTGAAGCCAATATTACAGTTTTGGGGGTTGTTGATTGTACTACAGTGTAATTATAGGGGTGTTACTATAATGCCCAGTTTGAAATTTTTAGATACTCTCTGATGGGGATGAACAAGGAGCATATGGAGCTGAAAACGGTACCCTTCTTCCCTGTTAGGTGAAGGTTGTCGATGAACGGAGGTATCGGAAGGTCTTTGAAGATATTGTACGCATTATGGACAGAATGGAAAATGACTTCCTTCCTTCGTTAGAACTTAGTAGGAGAGAGGTAAGCAAAACTACACAGCTTCCTACCTACTGTCCATTATTAGTTAACACAAAGGAAACTGTGTCACTTAAAAGGGCATCAGGCTAACATCTCCACTGTCATCAGACTGTCTCTGTTTTGGTGTCAGCTTTGCAGTTGAGTAGATGGGGGAGCACATGACGTGTCTTACCCTCTCAGAGATGCAGCTCCCTTTTCTGGATCACATGAATTCATACACGATAAACTCTTAGCACCTAGCAGCTTGGAAGCCCTCATATCAGTTACTCTTGTTTGGCACTCAGTTCATGTGTCTGAGGGAACAGAGCCTAGTCACAGAATGAGCACCCTAGACCATGATCATGTTCATCTCAAGATCCCTGGAATAATCAGAGTAGCCTTGAACAGGGTCAAAAGTTACCTAACACACTCTTTGCTGGTGTTATCTAAGTAATGTATCAAAGTCAATGCTAGGAAGTTGTCTCAGTCTGTGAATACATGTGATACACATCTGATTAATAATTACCTTATTCTTGATTCATATTGTCTATGAATAATCCAACTTACTTCCCCTACTAGTGATGCATGGTTGTGTCTGTCTGTTATTTCCCAGTTTATGTTTGAGAATGTGAAGTTTCGACAGCTGCAAAAGGAGAAGTTCCAGATCAGCAACAATGGACAGGTTCCCTGCCATTTTTCTTTCATCCCTAAACTTAATGACAGCCAATACTGCAAGCCATGGCTTCGAGCTGAACCTTTTGAGGGCTACTTGGAGCCAAGTGAGTTTTCCCTTTACCATTGCCTCTGCTTGCCTTGCTTACCACCTTGGCTTAACTTCTCGTCCTCTAACCACTTGTCTCTCATTTTGCTGTCTTTATATTAGTGATACCTCTTTGTGTCCCATCTCTTCCCTGTTGTTGTTTTGTTCTTGTTTTCATTTTTGAGGACCATTGATTTTCAACTGGAAAGCTCTGTGCTACAATGCACCATCTCTTTCATTTCAGATGAGACAGTGGACATTTCTCTTGATGTATACGTCAGCAAAGACTCTGTAACCATCCTGAACTCTGGTGAAGATAAGATTGAAGATATTCTTGTCCTTCATTTGGCCAGAGGCAAAGATTACTTCTTGACCATCAGTGGAAATTACCTTCCAAGCTGCTTTGGAACATCCTTAGAGGCTTTGTGTCGAATGAAAAGACCAATCCGAGAAGTTCCTGTCACCAAACTCATAGACTTGGTGAGAAGCATCCTAAAACATAAACTGTCTTCATATTTAATTTGCACTTTTATCCCCCTTATTCCTATGCCTTCTCTCTCTTCTTCTGGGATCAGGGGAACTGAAAAATGATACAGAAGAATGTCACTTTATCTTAGCACTACTTTAATTAAGTTAGCTTAAGAGGGAAGAGAAGAGGCTAATCGGTCATTAACTCTTGTTGTTATATTAGATAATATACTTCCAAAATAAGATTAAAGGCTCTCTCAAAGATATCATGCTTGTTAAGCTCAAGCTTGTCACACTCTTTCACATAAATTGGCATGAATGCTAGGTGTGGCAAGTGCAACATGCAGTCTTATCCTCATTATGATTACAAGAAAACTGAGGCCCAGAGGCATTCAGTTGCCCATAGTCAAATAAGGTAGTGACAGTCTACCCCCCAGATTTTCCAGCTTCCGCTCCACTATCCCTCCATACATTATATCACCTTTGCTGCTGATGAGAACGAGGGCTGTAATGAAAACTTACAGAACTTGCACCATAGTCTATAGGGGTGCTTACTACAAGTTGGAGGTCCCTATCCCCATTCACAACTAGTAACCAAATCTTAAAATATGGAGCCTATGAATCTGCATTTTACTAACATTCCAGAAGCTTTTTTCTTTGGTAGCCCAGGCTGGACTTGAGTTTCCTGTTCAACTGAGAATGACTTTAAACTTCTGATCTTCCTGTCTCCACCTCCCCAGTGTGGGATCACAGGTATACACCACATGTCTGGTTTATGCAGTGTTGCAGTGTTGGGGATCAAAGGCAGGGCTTCATGCATGCTCGGCAGGCACTCTGCCAACTGAGATGCAAACTCAGTCCATGGATGGATGTAATGCACGCTGGGGCTTTTTCACTTAATGTGACTCAGGAAAGGAAAAGACAATTATTTCCTGCCCTTGCCAAGCCAAGTTATTGTATATAATATCTACATTCATAAGAGGAAAAAGTATATTATTTTCAGTAAAAATGTGATTTAATAGCAAGTTCACTCTATTAAAAAACCTTTCTGATAGATGAAACTATTGTTGGATTTGTGTACAGGTTGGCACTACAAGTTTATTCTTAGCTTTTTTTTTTACCGAATATAATGAAGAGCTAAATGTTATCATGTGTATAAAATCACATTGGAGCTTAGGCCTGAGCAGAGCTAATGATTGTATCATCCAGCAGGGAAGGGTTAGAAGAGCATCATCATCATCAGCGGCAGCAGCAGCAGCAGCGGCAGCAACGGCAGCCTGCTGCCTTGTATCTGTGCCGTTGCCATGGAATTGTTGCACCTGTGACTCAGATAGCAAATTACAGCACGGGAATTGTATTTGTTTCCATAGAGCTCTCATGATGGAAGGTTTTCCCTACCTGTTTTTGAAAGAAAACCATTTTCTACAGAAATTCATATCCTGCCAGTCTGGTGTTTCTTGTAATTGCTTTTTGTCTAGCACCATATTCCCTTTCTGTATTGAAAAAAAAATTATACAATATAGTTCCCCTCCCCCAACTCCTCCCAGATCCTTCCCTCCCCACCAACCAACTCCACACCCTTTTCTTTCTCTGACTTTAGAAAGCAAACAAAGAGGCAAAAAAAAAAAAAAAAAAAAAGAAAAGAAAGAAAGAAAGAAAGAAACCCTAGGGAAAAAAAACACAAGAAACACACACACACACACACACACACACACACGAAAACAAAAACTATAAACACACACACACACACGAAAACAAAAACTATAAAAACACAAGATGGGGAAACATGTAAAAAGACTTGTAGGATAAAAAAAAAAATGCCCAAACAAAGCAATATGAGACAAAAAGTCTATAAAAATACCCTCCCACATGCCGTACACATGCATGTGCACACGTGCACACACACACTTTTCTGCCCCATTAAAAATTAAGTGGCAATATATCAACTTGACATTAATTCAGCCTGTATCTTTTTTTCTATTTTTTAAATGTTTTTTATTTCATTTTACATTCCAACTACAGTTGTACTTTTCCCACCCCTCCTCCCACCCCCCTCGCTTCCCCTCCTCCCACCCCCCTCGCTTCCCCTCCTCCCACCCCCCTCGCTTCCCCTCCTCCCACCCCCAGTCCACTCCTCTTCATGGGTAAGAGGGCTCCCATGAGGGGTCAACACAGTCTCAGCCTGTCTCTCTTAAGAAAAAGGACAAACTTACATACACACAACACTATTATTGCACTGCAGAAAACTAACAATAATCCACAATACCATCTAACATCCTGAGTTTATATTCATAGTTTTCCACTTGTTCTAGTAATGTCTTTTATAGGGTTTTAAAATCCAAAATGCAATCTTGGTTCATGCAGTATAGCATATGTGTGTACGTATATGAATATACACATATGTATGTATATACACATATATTCATATATATGCTAAGGATTCTGTAGTACCTTTCATAGTAGAGCAATTCTCCATTTTTTTTTTCTTTATTGTCATTTGCTTTTTACCAGTCTAATTGAGTTGCACAGGCAAGGCTCTATTATTTCCTAAATTTGGCCATTTCTTCTTGGTATTTGTTTAACTTATCCTTATATACCCTCTCTTTACTTTTGATTTCCTATCAACTAGACCATGGCTTATTTTTATCAAAGTTGGTGGCAGTATTTTAAAGTACCCCAATCATAATTTTTCCTTATTCTGGGAGTGACTAGGAAGCTCAACCAGCTTTAAAAGATCTTACTGCATATAAAATATATTATCAAGCAATTTGACTACATCGATCAATAAACAGTAGACAAAATCATTTAGAGGAATCGGTGGCTCTGTGCTCTTTAGGACATAACTGACTCAGAGTTAAAGAAACAGAGCCTTGGTCATTTGTAATTCCATAATGACTTTTTATTAAATTATACATGCATGGTCATCAGTTGTTCTTTTTGAAAGTTCTTATTTTGTAGGCTTTAGGGTTGTCATTCTTTGCATGGTTTATTGCATTTCAGTGTTATTAAATTACTGTGTTTCATCAATATGAAAGTTATCCATCTTGTTGTGAGGCAGTAAACAGGAATTAAAAATAACCACTTCCCTTTCTGAACACCTTTCTGCCTGTTTTGACACTGAAATACTTCTTTAGGTCTCATGTTCACTCAAGCTTTTTCAGGACTCAATGGAATATTTCAAACCCCATGAAACAGTGCCCTTAGTACTTGTACATGTCCTCTATTGTATTGTATGCTATAAATGCATAGTGAAGCCAGAAATTAGTTCAGTGCATGTTCTTTGTCTCCATGTACTGGTTCAGGAAGAGTCTTATGTTACATTTGATTCCTGCCAAATGCAAAATGAGATAACTGGCATGAATCTTTTAGTTCTTTCAATCATTTTTAATAATAGACTCTACAACTCCTAGGGTAATTGGAATTAGGTTAAGAGGGAACAGATGAGAATTATTTGCTGTTGTAATTATTTCTATTCTTTTTCAGAACAAAGATCCATTTTTCTGATTTATTAACTAGCAGGTTAACTAGCACATAATTACCAATATTTGTTACATGCTAGTTGTAAAGTAGTATGGAGATTATGTGAGTTTCTGTAATTTAGTGATCATGAAAGTATACTTGCATGCAAAATATGGCTAAATCCTAAGTCATGGTTAATAGAAAGTTTTGTTCAAGATCATTTGAACATTAGTGATCTTTACTTATGACTGTTCACTGAATTTGGTTAAGTCAACATTTTGGGAAATGATTTAAAATGAATTTGATGGAGATTGTAATTTGTATTCACAGTAGATTCCTTTCCTACATAGTTACTCAAGCCCGTGTGTGCTATTAAAACTTATCGATTCACCAGGCATTCTCTGTAAAAATCAATCTCAGAATCAGCTTGTTTTTGTCTTAATGGATATTTGATGCTTATAACATTAACATGATCTAGAAATATGTTCAGTACATATGAATAAAGTATATTAGTAGTAGTTGATCATAGACATTTTTTTCCAGTCAAATCAGTGTACTTAAGAAACAAACATATTTAAGTACAGGCTGAGTAGACTCTTCTAGAAGTAAGGGGTACCTTGAATAAAAGATGCAAAGTAAGAGAAAGGTGACTATGAGTGGGAAATTATAAGATTTCCCTGGGAAGGGTGAGGGTTCAGATTATGCTGCCTGAAACTAGTCCTGTAGTATAGGACAGGCAATGGTCTCAAATAAAGAGATACACTTATGCTTGAGCCAGAGATTGTCTAAAACATTCAGAAGACTCTGGAGATGAATACAAGGTTGTAAATTGACATATTAGAAGGAACCACCTTCTGGTTTTGCATATAGTATGAACTAATGGAAAGGAGGCCAGACTTTATGTGCCAGAACTGGTTAGAGATTTTGGTAGTACAAACACAAAAAAGATGAAAGATGGGTGGAGAAAATGCCAATGAGGGGTGATTTAGCTCATGCAGTCACACCAAGGCACACTTGTAGAGGTCAGACGACATGTTTGTGGATTGGTTCTTTTCTTCTACCATGTGAGTTTCAGAGATTTAACTTCAGTCATCAAGCTTGGTGGCTAACACCATTACCTCATGAGCTCTTTCATGGGCCCCCATATTACTTTTCATTTGTATATATGATTTGTTTGGCTATTTAAGACAGAATTTCTCCGTGTAGCCTTGCCTGTCCTGAAACTAGCTCTGTAGACCAGGCTGGCCTTGAACGCACAGAGATCGATCAGCCTCTGCTCCCATGTGCTGGGACTGAAAGGTGCACCACCACTGCCTGGCCCCCATATTAGTTTTAAGGTGTTTCTTTTCTCCCTCTTGACCTATGTTGATAACCATAATGTTTCCTTTTGTTTCTGCACTCCATGTTTGCCCATCCGGGCCTGCCAGATTGGACTTTCTGTAATACTGCTCTGATGGGGGTGATGTCTGTAGTGAGTGGCTCCCCCGTGCCTGTTGCAGACAATCTAAATTCATTAAGTTGTCATTCAGTGTCACCGTTTGTTTCTTAAGATTTTTCCCAACGTTGTCTAGTTAGCTTCCCCCACCCCAAACAAGATGAGTAAGTTCTTCTTAGTCCCCCTGCATTTCACTCTCCTGTGCAGTTTTTCCTTTCTGCCTCTTCCACCTTTTCTGAGAGCATGGATCTTGCTATGTTGTCCAGACTGGCTCTGAACTCCTATGTCCATATGAACTTCCTGACGAACTGTCATAACAGGCCTGCAGCACTGTACCAGGATTACTTCCACTTGTTATATCCCTTCCTCCAAATGCTGTGAATTAAGGACTTAGATGTGGCTCTGTGGTAGAAAGTTTGCCCTTTATGCACACACCTCTGGGTTCCAACACCAGCTGACAAAAAAAAAAATCCTGTGGTGTTTTTCATTTTGTTTTTAAGAACAGGTAGCCATGTATTGAGAACTTGTACATGTGCATTCTAAGAATATCAGGTTGTAGATTCTGAGACTAAGGAGCACCCAGACGCAATTGGAAACCGGGGTCAGAGACCGACCACGTCTTTCTCCTCTCTGTGTCCTTATTTATCACTGCCCTCCTTAGAAGGTATTTAGCATAGCCCTTTGTACTGGTCACCACTCAAAGGACACTTCTTTCAGGGCCTAGATTGACACAATCCCTGCATCATTTTGCTCAGTATATCACATGTCATGTGTTCATCAGAAGACAAATGTAAAGTCTGTCAGATTTGTTAACAAGTGTTTCCAAATGTAATTAAATGGTAGAGGACTAACATTTGTTAAGTTAGATGGCTGGCACTCAGAATCAGCTTTACCTATAGACATATGATAATGATAGAACAGTGTGTATTTTATCAGTATTATTACTAGGACTCTAACTATTGCACATGGTGTTTAATTCATAATGTATGCAACAATACTAAAAGCCCTAGTTGCCAGTGTAGCAACAACTCAGGAAAATAGGTTCAGGATTATCACTTGGAATGTCGGGGAATACACACTCATTCCCACTCCAGGAGTCCTTGCTTCTCTGACAGGAAGACTTGGATTTCTCCACAGACCTACCAGACCTGAGATGTCATTTATACTTGATTTTCTCAGTGGTCTTTAGTGGGATTGGGAGGGACCCTGTTGAGTGTCTCTGGGGCAGTGAACCCCCCTCCTACCTTTACATTGCTTCACTGTCCCTATGAGGAAAATATTTTACCTGCTTCAGAGATGAAGGCGCTGAGACAGTATGAAGTCTGGCAAATTGCCTGAAGAATCAGTAGGAGGCAGAAAGAAGATTTGTACCAAGGCGTGTCTAACATCAGTACCAAGACTCTGCATTAACCATGCTGTCTTGGGAACAGCATTTTCTCACTATTCGTAGCTGATTATAGAAGTACTCTCACAGCTTTTCCCTGCCTCTGAGTTGTCTACATAAGTATGGTGATAATGAATGTGGTTAGTCAGACCTGGGCTCCAATCCTGATTCTGTCACTTATTATCTATGTGTGACCTTGGGCAAATAATTTAACGTCTCAAAGCCTCAGTTTCTTCATCTGTAAAAAGGGAATACTGTTTCACCCCGATGCGCAGATAAAGTGACATCATATACAAACCCTTTGCACGGCTGCTGGTACATGGTAGATATTCCTCAGGTGGTGGTGATCATTGCTGGTGCTATCACCCTCACTGGGTTGTACTGACTGCAGAAATAACAAGGAAGAAAACAAGGTCTGTTTCCCCTGCTGCTTCTTTGTCTTTCATGGCCACTAGGAAAATAGACAAACTGATGGATAGCCTGATCTACAAAGCTCTGAGATAACATCCATTTACATTTCAGTATGACCTTCAAGTCTGGCAAGGCTGTAGGCCTTCAAGACTGTGGGTGGGTACCAGGAAAGGGAAAGATCTCTTGGAGGCTCTTGGAGATTCTGGGGACTAGCTGGATGAGAACAGCAATAGAAAGGGGTAGCTTAGCCCTGCTTCTGAGTGTCCACTCTCAGGACTGTAGCCAAGTCCGTCCATCGAAGCAGCATTAGGATGAGGTAAGAACTGCCCATGATAGTAGGTCAACAGGGAGACAGCACCAGGCTTGACTGGATCCTCAGGCACAAAAGTAAAGGCCTACTGAAGGATGGTTTTGAGTAATAATCTCAGCGAACTGTATAATAATACACTATGCATGACAAAGAATTTTGCAGGTGGAGAATGTTCTGTTTTCAGTGTTCATCATTTGAAGGATTCGAAGCTTTTAAAATCCTATGTGTCTAGCAAGCTAGCAAGATCTAATTAATACCAAGCTGTTTCTAATTCTGTGAATTAACGCTGATCATTGTCTATCTGCCAATGACTTTTCTCCTGCTCTGCTCTCAGGAAGAAGACAGCTTCCTAGAAAAGGTAATTCAATCCATTGGTGGTAATGAAGGTTTCCCTGTGCTTGATTAACACTTAACTGTGGTACCTGGAACTTGTCCTTAAGCATTCTCATATGAAAGGCCTCTGACTCGGTGAGAATTCCCTGATAAGCCCTGTTGTCCTGCCAGGTGTCTTGAAGTATGCTCAAAATACAGGAACATTCTTATCTATTTGACTAGTCGTTGATACTCTGTATGTAAAAGAAATAAATCTCAAGGATACAGTTTTTTTGGGGGGGCAGGGTCTTGTGTATTGCAGGCTAGCCTCAAACTCACTATGTAGCAAGAATGACCTTTATTTTTTATCTTTCTGCCTCCACCTCCCTGGTGCTAGAATTACAGCACTCCTGGTTCTAGGAAGTCCTGAAAAATCAAACTTGGGCCTTACAAAAGATGATAGACAAGCATTCTACCAACTGAGCTCCATCTCTAGCTACCAGTGTATGCGTGTGAGAGTGTGTGAATGTGTGAGTGTGTGCGTGTGTGAGTGTGTGCTTGTGTGTGTGTGTGTTGCAAGAGATGAAACCTAGTGCCTTACACATGCTAGACAAATGCACTACCACTGAGCTGTACCTTGGCCACATTGGCATTTTTTAATTCCCAGAAAAGTGCTGTACCATGCAGCTACATCTCCAGCCCAGATTTATCTTGATAGATCTTATCTGTAAACTCATGAGTTGGAGGGTACTGTTTAGCTACCCCTACTTCCAATGATAGTAAAACCAAAAATTGTTATTCTGGTTGCATTAATAGTGGTGTACAAGCTGTGGAAATGGCCCATTCAATAAAGTACTTGTTGTCATTGCAACTATGAGGGCCCATTTTCACATTTCCAACACCAGTGTAAACCAAAGTGCTAAATACAGTAGGACACATCTGTAATGCCAGTGCTGGGGAACAGATACCAGGTAGTTCGCTGGAGTTCATGAGCCAGCTGGTCTAATAGAATCAGTGAGAGAACCTGTCTCAAAAAAAAAAAAAAAAAAAAAAAAAAAAAAACAGACTGAGGAAGACAACTGGCGTCAACCACTGACCAACATATACACATGGCCCATACACACAACAAAGGAGTGATTTAGGGAACTTGATAATAGTGGTTAATTACTCAGAGACTACCCAGATATAGTCAAGAAATAGAGCTTAGAGTAGAATTGTTGAGCTAAATCATAAATTGTCTAATAAAGCCATCTATCTTTAGACAGAGAAAGGTATTTTCTCTGTTCTAACAAGCAAGTCCCAAGGTCCAGAAAAGTATTCAATGCTACAAAAAGTCCTAGTGCCTCTGAGCACCTGAGTGTAAGGTGTGGGTTCTGTTTCCTGGCTGTCCAGGGGTGTGTCCCTCCTGCTGTGCCTCATAGCCTCTTCCATCATCAACTAGAGATGCCAGGATCCTCTCAGAGCTGCCAAACACAGGGGCAGGAGCTCAACATATATTCCAGAGCATGTTCATAGAGTGCTTGAGAGACCTTTCTATAGGATGAAATTGAATACATTTTGAAGATGGAGATTCTTTAACTACTAGCATTAAGATTACAAAGTGTAGGGTTATAGGGCAAAGAGTATGTGTTGAGAATCTTGGTTCCCCTTTGAACATCAGAGTTCACAAATAATGTACAGAACTTTTTTTTTCCAAGACAGGGTTTCTCTGTATTACTTAGGAGGTTGTCCTGGAACTCGCTTTCAGGACATTTTTTATAAATATTCTTTGCCATTTACTTATTGTATCCCTTTCTAGACTTCAGAACTACAAGTGTGACATTTCCTATTATCACACATGAATTTGGAAGTGGAGTGTAGATGCTGTATATAACCTACTGACATTTTATTAACCTTTTAATCCACTAAGGCTTGAGACAGCTTTGCTTCTTAGCTCTTCTCTGTTAAGGGCAGGTCCATGTTCTGTCTATTCAGTTAGACAGTGCCTTATGTTGTGTTAATGCCACCGGACAGGTAAAAACCTTTAGTTGGATGTCAGATTTTTTTTAAATATGAGTCAATGATGAATAATTTATATATGGTAAAATTGGAGGCATCTGCTAAAGAATCTGCCCATGTGTTCTGTTTGATCCAGAAAGTTAGTAGAATGCATTAAGAAGTGTTTGGGCTCAGATAGCAGGTGGATGGCTGCATATAATATATACAAGCAGAATGAAGTCAGTGGGCGAGTCACCAATAGAAGTTATAGCAACTGTATAGAATATGAATATCAAGACATGGCATCCCAGGAAAAGAAAGTACCACGTTAACACCGGGGCACTGCTGTAGTGTGTGTGGCCCCTATGAGCTTAGTTATATGGTTTTTTTTTTTCTTTCCCTTAAAGCTATATGGCTGGAGGTTATAGATAGAACAGTGTCAGACAAGAAGCTGGAAGTTGACAATAATAATGTATGACTTAGAGGTTACAAAAGGAAGAGGATGGTAAAAGCAGAACATGGCTGTCTCCACTGGGGTTCTTCTGAAGGCTGCCTTCAGCTGCCATTCAGCCTACCTTGGATATATTTTTCATGTGTGTTATGCTTGAATCTATAAACCTAAAATAAATGAACATTTACTTTTGAGTAGTGGTAGATAAATGAGTGTATTTTATACATTGACTTTAGTTATTTATCTGATATATGTCTTATATTCTTTCAGAAGACTGTAACAATAGAAAGGTAGGTAAAACAAATAATGGCCCCTAGAAATCTTTGCTGAGCTATTAATAATAACTTCTGGATGTAGACCCTTGAGTTTTCATGGTACTAGCTCCAGGTTATTAGTTTTGGATTTTGGAGCTTATGATTAGAAACTTGGATCAAGCCTGAAGCTCTCATATTGTACATCTAATATGCAGAATTGTCTTTAATTCCTCAGAAGCAAATCAATCGAATTAAAGAAACTATGAGAGCTCCCAGTAGTATTTGTGGTGAGACCTGAAGGGAGAGTTAATGTAGAATAAACTGAAACCTAACTGTAAACATGGCCCTGTGGGCTGCCGTACTAACAACTATGATTTCATGGTCTAGCTACTGGTCATGTGTAGACTCTACTGTGGCTATATTATATTCTTGCCATGCTGGTACTCACTTCAAAATGTGGAATGCATCGACGTGATGCACACCACAAGTACCAATGAAATGCTTACTGATTGAATGAAGCATTTTGCAAAGAAGCTTGTTTAACTACTGAGATCATCACTGAGTGCCTTCTGAACATGGATGTCCCTTATGAGGGGAAAAATGCAAAAGCATAAGAAAGAAACAAAGATCACATTATACCCAGTTGAGCAGATTTTGAAAGATGTATCTCTACGCTTAGGCCCCTTTGATTTTCATCCCTTTTCATCTGTTAGGAGAAATCCCTTCTGCAGATGGTCCCCTTGGATGAAGGTGCCAGTGAGCGACCCCTTCAGGTTCCCAAGGAGATCTGGCTTCTAGTAGATCACTTATACAGATATGCCTGCCACCAGGTAAGTGTGAGAAAACCTTCCCTGAAACTGCAGAATGTGTGCGAGTCCTAGAGGACATTATGCTTCCCCATCCCAAGCAACCTCCATGTGGCTGCACTGTCAGACCTCTAAAGCATACAAGCTAAGGAGGTACCTGAGGCCACATGCTGAGTCTGATGGCAGAGTATAACCAGAACTGAGAATGCCCGTGACTTGATTATGCGTTTTGCCCTGAACGATTGAATACTCCTGTCCAATGCCTATTCTGGCTGCCCTGTAAATTAAAATTGAAGCAGATTTCAAGACACAGCACTGAGTTTTCTTTTAAATCAATCCTGTACTAAAACATTAACCCCACCCAACTCATCCCCTACAAGAACTTTCTTTAACCAAATTGAAGGTAGTGTTCTCAGACCTACTAAGACCGTGTAACTCGGAAACCAAGTTTTATCCTAAATGTGCCATTTCCTCCTTTCCTGACATCCAATTCTGTCTGCATTTGATATGGTCTGATTGTGTAGGATACACTCTGCCATGTTTTCCGGAGGTCAGTGGACTACCTGGCTTCCTGATCTGGCCATCTAGTCCCTTGCCCTATCTGGGAAAGCTTTAGAACTTCAGTAGAGGGACAGCTTGCCTTGTTCCCTTCATGTAGGAGGACCTGTTCCAAACCCCTGGAATGCAAGAGGAGTTACAGCAGATCATCGATTGTCTGGATACCAGTATTCCTGAGACAATCCGTATCCTTTCTGCCCAAGGCTTGAAAAAGCTGTACTATCCAGTTATTTTCTCAAGACCTTTCAGGAACTTTCAGTCTCTTTGTGTCAGACTAAGAGGAATCAAGAAGTGGGTAACAGCATTTGTAGTGAGCATGGGACTTAGGATCTATAGCACCAGTACTGTTCTCCTTCTGCCAGCTGCTCATTCCTGCTGTGCTCCCCACCCACATGCTATCACTAGGGCAAGAAGAAGAATGAGAAAAATGCTGGCAACTAACTTATCTCCCATCCAGTGAACCCTATTGCTATGTCTGCTTTGCTCCCAGAGTCTCTGGTTTAGTAAAGGGACTCCCAAGGGCTTTGGCCAATTCTGTACCTCTTTGGCTACAGAGTACCTAGACCATGATTGAACCCCAGTCATGAGCAGTGCATCCTAAAAGAGAAGAGAAAAACCATCCCTATGGAGGCTTGAGGAAGGGAGTCAGTCAGATGCCCATGTGGCTTTTCTCCGGGTCCCTCTTCCCTTGACTCAAGGCCATTCAGCTGGCAGTAACCACTCTGTGGCTGAAGCACTGCTTATTTTCCTGGAAGCCCTGCCAGAGCCGGTCATCTGTTATGAGCTGTATCAGCGCTGTCTCGATTCTGCTCATGATCCACGCATCTGCAGACAGGTGAGTTTTGCTGCCCTGAGGATATGCCCAGTACAGGGAGAGAATCTATCAGTTCTACAAAGCTGTAAGATAGAATGTGCCGGGGTCTGTTATTCGTGGCAGGACACCATCATTAAAAGTTTAAAACCCTTGGGGGAGCCAATGGGATGGGTCAATGGATAAAGGTCCTTGCCACCAAGCCTGATGACCTGAGTTTGATCGCCAGAAGCAAAGTGGTGAAAGGAGAGAACCAATTCCCACTAGTAGTTCTCTCATCTCACACTATAAGTAAATAAAGTTGAAACCCTTAATTTTAGGTACTATTATTCTCTACCATATAAAAATGTTTTCTATTTGACCTATTTCTTTTAACAGAAAATTTAGTGGGTGGTTACTTGAACCCTTGCAGTATTCGGCAAAACTAATTATAAGTGCAATTCTAGCTGTCATTCCCAGGAAAAGTAGGTAGCAGTTGGGAGGCCTTTCTTCCTCTTCCTCCCTCCCTCCATCCTCCCCTTCCTTCCTTCTTTCTCCCTTCCTCCCTCTCTCCTCCCTCCCTCTCCCTTCTCTTCTCCCTCCCTCCTTCCTTCCCTCCCTTCCTTCCCACTTCCTCCCTTCTTCCTCCTGCCTGCCTCCTACCTCCTTCCTCCCTCCCTCCCCCTTCATTTCTCTCTCCATCCTTCCTGCCTCTGTCCCTTCTTCCTTTCCCCCTTTTTTCTTCCTCCCTCCTCCTCCCTCTTCTTCCCCCTCCATCCTTTCTCTCTCCCTCCCTCCTTCTCTCCTACTTCCCTCCTGCCTGCCTCCCTTCCTTTCTGCTTCCCTCCCTGCCTCCCTCCTTCCTTCCCCCTCTTTCTTTCCTTTTTGGTATATGTTTTTAATTTTGAGAAGACTTTGGTCCACAATGGCTAAGACTATGTGAAAATCACATTAGTGGGTGTTGGTAGGAGGTACCCATCATTGCCAAGTAATATTGTAGAAAAAACTACTCAAGTTGACAGATGCCTTTGCTGTTGGGGAAAAAAAAACAGATGAGCACTTACCTTGTGGTGAAGCACCTTGTGTATGTGACTCTGAGGTGCATGTATGGCCTGGTCATTGAATAGAGAGAAACCAAACCATACTCACTTCAGAGTTAGAATTCAGCAGGTAATGTACTGGTCATGAGCAAGTAATAGAGGGTAGTGTCAGACAAATGGGACCTATAAGAGTTAGGTCACAAATTATTATTATGGTGGCTATAAATTCTCATTTCCTTTAAGTTCTTTACCTCACTAAACACTCCTCTTCAATAAATAGGTAATTTCCCAGCTTCCAAGATGCCATAGAAATGTTTTCCGCTACTTGATGGCATTCCTTCGTGAACTCCTAAAATTCTCGGAGTACAACAATGTCAGCGCCAACATGATCGGTAAGAATACTTCATGAGAAAGTTGGCATGGAATGTTTGCTAAGAATAATCTATATGCGTTGTGCATAATGTATACCGTAGTTGACGTTCGGGAACATGGCAGTCATTTCCCAACTACTGTGATTGTTGCCTGCACCCCAATCCTTGAGGTTTTGCTTAGGTCATGTCTGACAGTGGGTTTCTCCTTTTCTTTCTCATACCCTCCAGCTACTCTCTTCACTAGCCTTCTCCTAAGACCTCCACCAAACCTCATGGCAAGACAGACTCCAAGTGACCGCCAGCGTGCCATCCAGTTCCTTCTGGGCTTCCTGCTAGGGAGCGAGGAAGACTAAGTCTTTCCTTATCTAAGATTCTAGAAAAAGAAAATCTTGGGCTCCAAGTATTTCAGGAATATTTGAAAAAGTCATGACACACACACACACACACACACACACACACACACACACACACACACACAAAGGGTCTCCTGCAGGACCTTAACGTTCTGTTAATAGTACAAAGGGAAGAGTTTCTTAATCCCTCCTCATAATATCCTACACAGCAAAATCCTTTTAGACATATATTGCCAAGCCAAAGTTACCATATTTTGGTGTTTTTGTGTTTACTCTTTGGTAAGCAAAGAGGTCTGTATTTACACTCCTTTACCTAGGGGTATCTTTTCTACCCTGCTTCCCAGTCATCATAAGAATCTTTATTACCCCAGGCCTAGATTGCGAGGCATTGCCATTCTAGGCCTACAAGCACTACTTGCTGTAACTCAGACTTGTCTGTAGTCCTTTTACAATGCACTTTGGAGCCACCTTCTCCCCATGTCACTACTTTGCACTCTTCCTCGATTCATGCCATCACTTTGAAGGAACCCTGGAGGAGACTAGTGACTCCGCAGGCATCCTCAACAGTGAAGCTCACTGTCTCCACGTGATTGTTACATGCATTTGTGCATTTCTACTACAAGGATGTCTATGTGTCACTGTAACATTGGTCTTCTTGTGGATCCACACTTGGTGGATCCATATTCCCTTGTCTGAGATCATGTTTAGTTACATAATTTTATGGACTACAGAGATGGCAACCCACTGATGTGAGGAAAGCACTGTGAGTATTTCAGGAGTGAAAATATCCACGCATGACAGCTCCTGTTTCCTACTCCCCATTACCTCTTAGTATCCACACTTGACATGAGGAGTAATCCAGAGTGTTAGGGAACCCATTTCCCACTAGAAACCCACTTCCAGAATAATGTTTGCATCGAAGTCAAAAAAGGGAGTCTGTGCACCTCAAGTGAGGCCCCATGGACCTTCCTTCCTCCCCCAGACCAAGCATTGAGGGTAAGCCTCAGAATCCTTTTTCCTACCTTCTGACATAGCCGGGGAAGACATTGCCCTCTCTCAGCAGGGCTGACTCTGGGCTCCACATCTGACTTCTTCAAGAATTTAAAGACTGCCCTTGGCTCCAAGACACTATATCCAGTGCTATGTAGGACAGACTGGTCAGTGGGACCAGCCACACACATTACCTCTCCCACCTGAAATGACTCTAAGGTTTTCATTTTATTCAAGCTTTGTGGGACAGACTGACTTTCTAAAAACTAATATGTTGGTTAACAAACAAGCCACCAGCTACTGACTGCAAACTGCCTGGTGAAATTGGCTTGGTTGGTTTTCTTTCATCGGAAACAACCCAAGTGTGTCATTCTTGCCTGTTAACATTGGGTGTAACGAGCTTGGATAAGGCTGTGTGTACAATCTTGGGTACTGATTCCATGACTCTTATAGCATCCAAGGAGAGGGCCAGGGAATCATCTACCATCAAATGGTTTTCCAGTTCCCTGGTCTCCTCAAAATTAAGTTCTTTGGAGAACAAAAGGTATGTATCATGCAATAGACCACTTAAGCCCTTACCCAATTGGGTGTTGGGAAATAAACTGATGCCAGCTCACTGAAGATTTGATTGGGTCAACAGTTGGCTAATGGAAGACTGAGAGCAAAGGGTTTTGTCTTGTCTATTAGACTAGGAATTAATTGCTGAAAAAGCAAATAATAGGAGCTGGGGCAAAGTGGTCCACAGAAAAATGCCTCTCCTGTGCCCATGCCCGTTTTGTAATACCTTGCCAACCTTGGGTCTTTGGGTAACCAGGAATATGTTTAATAGGGCTCTGTGGAGCGTGCATGTAGTATCCTTCCTTCATCAGGCCAAAGCACCAAGTCGCGTCAGTGCCTCAACCTTTTGTTCAGCTTGGCCTAGGATGTATATAGGGTTGAGGGTTTTAGACATCTCCAGGTAGGGGATACAAAACAGATCAGATGGAAGAAACCTGCTTCCCTATGCTGCCTATCCAGCACCCCAGCCTCTAATCCCTAATTCCTCTAAGGTACTATTTCATAGTTCCTCTGAATGAAGGACTTCAGATCCAACTGGTAGGGAAAGACTCAGCACCTAGTGTCTTAGGGAAGAAATGATTCAAATCTATTGGATGACATTGCATTAGTTTCCCTTTCACTGTTTTCTGATTCTTAATCTGAAGTTCTATGTTATATTTCACAAAAACGTCTTGGTCACTAAGCAAAGCTGCTAGTGGGATTCTGTATTTTGTGTCATCTTTTTTATTATAATTTATTGCAATTTTCTGAATAAATATATGTTGTGTGAAAAATCATTGTTATCTTAGTGAGGAAGAACTGGAGAGAGGAGACTTATGTCACTTGGTGTCACTTGGCTTTTTTGCAGTCCCCATATTGTACCTGTCACCACCCAGCTTACAGAGAAATGCCATTTTAAATTGTGCACTGGGTCTATAACTCCATTTCACAGTGCTTACTTGCCACGCACAAAGCCTTGGGTTTGATCTGCAACACCAGGACCACAAAAGTATGTTTTCTTGGGCTAGTGAGATTATTCCATGGGTAAAGGTACTCACCATTAAGCCTGATGCCCTGAGTTCAGTTCCCAGAACCCACATGGTGGAAGGAAGGAACTGACTCCTAAAAACTGCCCTCTGAGCTCTATACATGTGTTGTAGCATGGCCACATAGATAAGTAAAATTGGGGCTGGAGAGATGTCTCAACAGTTAGAACACTTACTGCTCTTACACTAGACTCAGGTTTGGTTCCTGGCATCCACATCTGGCAACTCACAACTGCTATAACTCCATTTCCAGGGAGATCTAGTAGCTTCTGCAGGCACCTGTACCTATATGGTAAGTGTACATACACATACAAATAGATATATAGATAGACAGATCTTTTTAATGAAAAACTAAAAAGATGTATTCTAAGAGATGAGAAGCCATGTGTTTTCAGAGACTGGTGAGGAAGTCATATACTTTTGGAGCCAGCAAAGATCCTTATTTTGACCATAAGGAGTCAGGAACATGAGTTCATCTGTTCCATTACCATCCCACTCCACCCTTTAGGATGGGATCTACAATGGAATCTCACTATATTGCTGCAGCTGGTCTTGAATTTCTAGACCCAATCAGCCGTCCTGATGCAGCCTCCCTTGTAGCTAGGGCTGGAGTCACACCACACACCATCTTGCCCAGTTAGATACTGATTCTTTAATCCCATAAAGGTCACAGCAAGGTCACATCCATGATCCCACCAGCTCCAGAAGTATGACAAGTCCTAACACACACACATTTCAGAGGAGCCCAGTTGCCTTTGCTCTCAGCGTAGGCAGATTAGATGTGACTCCCAAAGAGCCTGTTTTTACATAATCCACTTTATAAGTTCTGAAATCCTGCTTATTGGGGTGATGAGGTGCATAAATTTACAAACACTTTGGGGAGGCTCTGGTATGAGCTCTCTGGCACTTGGAGAGGATGCTTCCCAGCTCACCAGGACACCGCTGTTCCCTGGCCCATCCACAGCATGAATTTGTGGCTTCTGATTTCATTCCCCCTTGAGACTGAAGCCGCCTCTGCTGGAGGTTTCTTCTCAACTAGGGCCCTTTTCCAGTTCCCTCCCTCTGTGAGCCTGCCAGATGCCTGTGCTGACTCAGTGTTGTTAGGAATCGCTGTGGGGGTTTTGCTAGCTCCACCCAAAGGCTTGGCAGAAGAAGGTGTTTCCTTCTGTGAATGGAGACTGACTTTCCGCAGTTTCTGTGTAGCAGGGGGCAATGTGACATAGCAGGCACCAAAGCTGTCCTTGTCTGAAGTTAGAAACTGCATCTGCACCTTCCCTGCTGCTCTCATGTTGTAGGGACCCATCAGAGCCTTTTTTTGTTGTTGTTGCAAGGCAAGTTGAACAGGCGTTTGGTGTGGTTTAATAATCCATAGCCACATAGTGTACCTATAAAACCACAAAATGTTAAATAGTGAGCCTTAGTAAATGATCTAATCCATTGTCATTGTTCAAATAGAGAGTTTCAGAGGGGACAATGATTGACCCGTCATGTAGCATAATGGGAAGAAAAGGCTTATGCTTCACAGTTTGACATGGGTCAATGAACACCCCACATAACCTTAACCTATACTCACCAGTTAACATTTAACCACAGTTGCCTTGAGTCTGCTGTTCAATCCAATTTCTGCCACTTCTTTATTGTGAGCGACTTTGGACTAGTTACCCTATAGTTTCCTTGCCTATAAAATGAAGCAAGTATAGTACTGACCTTCTGTGGCATAATTACATCAGTCACATCACTTCCTTGTTTAAAAAAGAAACCCTGAAGCATTGCCCGGTACATTTAGAACAATGTCCCAACTTTCTCCTTGCCTTTGAGGGCTGACTTATTAAATGAAAAGTACATAAATATGTGCCAGCAATAGTACATGGCACATAGAAGCTGCTGTATAGATTTCCCACTCCCAGCTTTCTGTTTTTATCAAACTGACTGCACCTAAGGCTTTAGATTTCTTACTTAATGCTAATAACCTTGTCAGCTAGGCGCGGACCAGCTTGTACTCAGTCTATTCAGCTCTCTATCATCTGACTGAAACATTGCCACCACACCTATGCCTCTGTATTTCAGACCTTACCTGTAACACATTTTCAAATTAGTATTATTATTGTGGGGGGATGGGAGCCAGAGAACAACTTTCGGAAGTCAGTTCTATCCTTACACTGGGATTCAGGAATTGGATTCAAGTTGTCAGGCTTGTGTGACAAGTTCTTGTCATTCACTGGCTCATTAGGGTGCCCCCCAGAAACCTTTTAGAAAGTGGGATTGGGATATAACTTAATGCCAAATATGGTGGTATACATCTGTAAACCCACTGTTTGCTTGGGAGACCAAACTAATTTAGAAGTCATCCTGGGTTATATGCTGAGATCAAGGTTAGTCTTAGCTAAGTAACAAGGCCCTGTCTTGATTGTTTGCAGTTGTTTGTATTTTCGCATGGTGTGTGTGTGTGTGTGTGTGTGTGTGTGTGTGTGTGTGTGTGTACGTGCCCACAAGCACAAGTATGTACAGAT